GTCCGACGAGGTCCGAGATATCGAGGGCAAGACCCCAGTGATCCACGTGGAGCAGTACGTAAGCCACTGGAAGAAGACTGCGAAGCTAGCACTATTAGCTGGATGTCGCTAATAACATCAAGGCTCCGGTGGAGCTGGAAGTGAGGCTAACACCGAACGACGCTAAGTGCGTGTTTCCACTGGTCTCGCCGAGACGTACAACCTCTGTGGAGAGGCGACGCCGTATGCTAGCTGCAAGACGCAGGGCGTCGACCCTGACCCAGGATGTGTCGACCGTAGACGATAGCGCACAGCTATACACCCTCCTCAACGGTATGACGGAGAGGAAGACGGCGACGTCTTGCTCGAGTCTATTACTGCGGTGGATGCTCATCTTGAGTTGGACGATATGTCCTTTTAAGAGTTCGACGGTGCTTTGAATGCAGGCAACCAAGCCAAAGTGGTCATTATACGTGGAAGAGGAGATCAACTCATCGTCGCTGCAGGATGAAGCTGCCGTGGAGGACATAGAGAGTGCTGAACGTACGAAGTGATTCTTCGATTCTGGAAATTTCTCGAATACGTACTATCCTTTGGTGAAGGAATGTAACACGTCGTCTCCAAAGACCAGCCGTCGGTCCTACCTCCGGACCGAGGTATGCGTCATGAGATCGACCTGGTTCCGGGAGCCAAATACTGTGTAACACGTAAATGGCCTCTGCCCAAGAAGCAGTATGAGGTCATTGACGCCTTCTTCTGTACGAAGCACGACGCAGGAATGATGTGAGAGAGCAAGTCTCCGCATTCGACACCCACGTTTTGTGTCCGGAAGCCGAACGGCTGAATCTTGTCAGCTCAAGGCTGCAGAGGAGAACTACCCAGTTCACGACAAGGAATTACTTGCGATGAAATATGCACTTGTCAAGTTCAGGGTTCACCTGCTTCGCTCAAAGCCGTTTGTGATCTACACATATCATGCGTCGTTACGCACTGCGACTCAGTCGCCTCACCTCTCGCAGAGGATGGACAAGTGGCTCTCCTTCTTTGCAGAATACAACTTCGAGGTGAAGTGTAAACCAGGAAAGTAGAATGCTTTGGCTGATACGTTGTAGATTATAAGGTCGCTCATGTCACGTCGGTGACGTCGTCCATGACAGATCTGATCCGCACCGCGTACGCGGGTGATGATATGTGCGTAGCGCTGTTACAGGCTCTCGAGTTCGAATTGGACAAGAAGTTGTCGTCGCGACTGCGTGCACGGTTGCTCTAATATTCATGGAAAAATGGATTGCTGTATTATAGCACCGACTCGACGGATATGCCACGATTTGTGGTTCCTCACGATGGGGATTTGAAGTACGGTAACTTCTACGAGGCCCACGACACCCCATTCAGTGGTCATCTTGGTCGTGGAAAGACCTACAGCTCTGTGAGTTGCCACTACTGGCGGCCCAAACTATTAAATGAACGAGCACCTGTGTGCGCACGTGTGAGACGTTTCAAAGGGTGAAACCCTCTCCAAATGCGGCGGCACTGCCGGACAGTTTGCCGCTACCTTACGGGTGTTGGTAGTCCGTGAGTTTGGACTTTGTGGGTTTGGCCTGCTGCAGAACTCGGCGGGCAACACGGGTGTTGTGGTCTTCGTCGGCCGTTTGAGCAAGATAGTTCATCTTGCGGCGGTATCGGACACCATCGATGGTGTCGGTACAGCGACGCTGTTTGTAACGTGTCTTTCGACGATATGGACTCCCAGAGTCAATTGTCTCTGACAGCGACCCACGCTTCACTGGGAAGTTTTGGTCGACGATCTCCAAGGGGCTGGGCACCAAGCTGGATATGTCAACAACGGACCATCGGCATACCTATGGTCAAACGGAGCGCATTAATCGCATGGTCGGTGAAGTCCTTCGCAGCGTCTAATCTGAGACTCTGAGGCGCTGGAGCGCCATGCTGCCACTCGTAGAGTTCGCTCTGAACAATGCAGTGCATTCATCCACGGGCTACACGCCATTCTACGTGAACAGGCTCGTTCATCCTCGCGTCCCGCTGACGCCGCCATCTCATGGTTCAGAGCTCGGTTAGGAGTATCAGCCGAATATGTCTGTTCTCTCGCTGTGCGAGAAGAAGTCGGTGATTTACCAGACTGAGTACGTTCGCGAGATGGCTGAAAGCCAAGACATGTAGAAGGAATGTGAATAAGTCAGAGACCTAAGTTTCTTCCTACCCATGCAGTTTCTGCTGTCTTTAAGACGAATCCCCGTCCACAGTTGATCTGACCGTTTAATGCTGTGGTCAAGCGTGGCCTTGCGTATACGCCCAGTCTTTCGTAGCGAATGCGCACCCACCCGGTGTTTTGTGTGGGCTTGCTTAAGCCGTACCGGAATCCGGCGCAAGTGAATGCTTAAGCGTTGGCGCCGGAGCAGACAGACGCTCGACCACCTAGATGCTGGACCAGCAACTGGTTTAAGCACAGAATTTATCGATCTCCATCTCCAACTAATCCAAATTTAAGACTAAGCAGTGTTCCGCGCTATCAAAATCGAGAAACTTGACACCGAGGTCCACAGGCTCCTTTGGCGCCGTGACATCTGTTCCTGTCGCAAAGCGAACAGTGGCGATGTCACTCAACCGCGCCTTCAGTGCCTCAGCATACAGCTGATTTCTTTCATCGTGGAGCATCGAGCATAATTATTTGACGCCCCTGAGTCGATCAGGATATTTCATGGCTTCTCAAAGCCCTTCACAGTCGCTTCCACGACCAGAAAGCCCGGTGCATACATGTTCCGTGTTCAAGAGCACGGAGCTCCTCGGGGCTGGGCCCTGCTGCCCTCTACCTCCTTGAGGCTCAACAGAACTAAGTTATTCTCTTATTGGACATCAAAGCAAAAGAAGGGTGAGAAGCGCGACGTCGGCTCGATGAACCTAATGGGTGAACAATCCAACAATTGGCGAGTTCTACCTCTACCTTACCGCGCCTTGCGCAGGGGACAACTAGTCCGAAGGTGACGGGTGTCTTCACAAAAAAATATCGCCAGGTGTTCGAACGCTGCTTGGCAACTCGGAGCTCCGCTTCCTCGTCCTCAGCATAGCTAAATTCCATCGGCTCAGGCCCGCTCGACGAGCCACTAGGGTGTGCATTTCAACCAAGTCGTGCCGACTTAAAGTTAATTTCAACATTCCATGCCACATTCACTGCTTCTTCAAAAGAAGACGCGTGCACACGGAAGATTTCCATTCTGACCACGCCGGAGGTTCAGCCCTGTCCAGGAGAAAAACGCCGCTTCGACGGAAGTGCCGCACATCAGTGCCCATTCTCGCGCTTGACCCCCGAGCTTGGAGATAGCCAGTATCTCGCGCTGCTGCTCCGTCTAGGGCATGGCGGACGCCATGGCTATATCGACCTCCCTCACTCAGAGCAGGAGATCCTTTCCATCCTTGGTGGCGACATGGACGCCGTTGACGCCGACATATTCGGCTGCAAGTGCTCTAGCAGAACAGGTTCATAGTTTAAAAACCTCTTTAGTCCGCGCAGTTCGCTTCAGGTCCTTGCGAAACGAGGTGTCACACGCCCTCAGGACCAAGCAAAGATATCAGCTTGTTAAGTCCGTCCTGTATGCCCTTGGGCAAATGGGAAATTGCTTCACCTTTATAGAGGGTCAGTCGTGGTGACTTAAGTGTAGATTGACTAGCGGGGCTGCCGTAGCTCTTTCGCTTAGAGGAAGCTTGGTTAAGGTTGGTGACCTTCGTTATATACGTAGAATCAGCTCGAGTGTAGCGGATCGCGATCCACTCTGTCCAAGAGTCACTACAACCTTACTCAGCGCTAATTAAATCTTCTGTTTGAAATGTAAACTGCATTTCTCGGTTTTATTTGCGGCAAAGCCGCCTATATCCAAATCGATAGATTTTTTTATCGAGATAGTAAAACTAAAAACGTATAAATCCAGCCACCTAAAGACTTGTTATCTAAGTTTAGTCACACGATTGTGTGGTCGCACCATCTTGTGTAAATCAAACAATTGAGTGATCACAACATATTGTGTATCCCACATTCTTCATAACAGAGCCCCGTTACAAGTTGAGTATAAAGCTGTAGAATCTTAAAGTGCAACAGATGGTTGAAGCCAAGATGAGAGGAAGGGAAGCGCACGCGTTCTTATCGAGAAAAGGGTGGCCGCAAAATTGTGTCCTAGTGCTAAACTTACTTTCTTACACTTTATTACGAATCAAGGACATATTAATCAGGCAGCCAAAATGCCTCTGGGGGGCATATTAAGTTCAGAATACCGCCGCCCAGTAATAATCGATTGCCTCACTATTATACTGGATACAATGACTCTTTGCAAATATAGCTCTGCTTTGACTTAGCTATCGGCACATTCTTGATATAATCCACGCATGTTTTTCGACCCCATGGTCTCGGTGTTGCTTCTGTATCAAATCTACTCAGCTCGAAAAAACTTTTGTGGTCTATCTCGGTGGGCTAAGCGCATGCTAGCTGAATGAAGCCTCGAACGCCTTCTGACGGCATCGCCTACTATGATCACTTGTCTATCTCCAACAATGTTACGAAAAGTACATATTCTTACGTATGTATGTCAACTGATTTTTTAGCATATCACGAAATGAGCAAATTAAAAAGTGGGGCGCGGCAAAGTTCTGACAATCTAATTAGATGACCTTCGACAAGATGCAGCATCCGGTCTTTTCTTCTAGTTCACGTTTGTGTTAGATCTCTGCAGCCTTTACGAACCCTCGCAGCTTAGATTGGCATCGGCGAAATGCAGTTCCTACACAGTTTACCAATATAAGGCCCCGCACCACGAATCATATAAAGTTTAGAACAAGATATTCAGATAGGAGACACAAATTCTTTTAAAACTTCAAAGAAGAAATTCGGATTTTTTTAAATACTCAACGAACGTTTTCTTCGTTGGTGTCGAAATTATAAAATAGCGATGCAGTGCGATACTTCACGACCATGTTGTGACGTCATGCTTCTCTTAAAATACTAACTGGATCTACATGACAGAGCAGCCAAACCAGGCCTCGTCCGAGTCTTTTGTGGCGACATTTCTCACATCATTGTCCAAGTGCATCATAGCTGACGCTATATTGGTGTCGAAGTAGGGATGCCATACGTGGTCGTACAGAAATCGAGCCATAAAGGAAAGATCTTCCTTATACGCTTGAGCGACCTTGATACCACCCCATACACGACTGCGTTCCACAATCCACGGCACCATAACGCGCTTTGGTTTAGTAGCACGAAAAATTCGTGGCATCACGTATCGCTGAAATGCTTTTTCTGAAAACGCAAGTTCGATTGCAGGCTTAAACGCTTCTTCTTCAAGTGCTAGCGCGTTTAAGAGCAGGTAATTTAGTCGGCGAATATTGTCCTGAAGCGTGCTTAAACGAGTATGCCACGAATCCACACACGATGCGGCGGAAAACGTCAAGTCATCTTCCTGACCAATAATTACTTCGATCAATGCGAAAGCAGCTTGATAAAGACTAATAATATCGTGCTTTTCAACCACTTTGATAATAACAAGAGGAAGGAGCACGGTTGCCTTTATATCGCGCTGATTTCGCACAAACTCGACAAAATACCGTCTGAACCAGTAAAAAAATTCGCGCACGTTCCACTTCATGGGCGATTTTAAAGCGCGACTGCGTTCGAGAAAACGATCAATAACATATAGAGCATGACGAATCGGCTCGTGCAGTCCAAGTAGAAACTGCGAGCTCCAGCTCATATCCACTTCATCGTCGCACGTGAGTACGTCTGAAAAGACAACTGCGTCGCCTTTTCGCTCTGGGGCGGAGACTGGCGTACTAATAATACTCGAAAAATCGTTCAACGACACCACACTTCCATGGGGATTGACATCCATTCTCAATGGACCAAGGCTCAGGATGCTAGACAAAGTGACAACTGATGATCCGCCCTCGCTGCTGTGCTCAGATATGGGAGTCGATAAAATGTTTTCAATATGCTCTCTTTTGCTTATCGAAGCGGTTTTGAGAGCGAAAGCGTTCTGTTCCGAGTCTAGCGACGCCCAAATATTGAGAGTAACTGTGTCATTGTGGCCTTCATATTCACTCTTGTAGCCACTCCTTGTTAGTACATAAGCGACTTGGCTGATATCTATATATTGCGCCGGCTTCTTCGTCGCTGTAATGTGTCGTGGTGCACTTTGTGGCCCCGACCAGATGTTTGAATAAAAGTCGGTTTCGTCGCGTGAGAGTCGGCGCGACTTTTTCATGTGCTCGCTACTAATTCCCATCGCTAATCGACTTTTCACGTGCAGTTTACGATTGGGGGTGCTTACCGGCTTCATCGCCCGGCTGAGAGGAAACAAAGTGTCATCTCGGTGTACCAAATTCATCAGCAAATGCTCTCTGCCAGGCAGCACGTTCTGCACTTGAACTGGCATTAATTCCTGGCCACTTTATTTCTTGGTGCTTCTGTGTCTCTCCCTTCACGCGATGAAGGACTGGATTATCCAGCAAAAGCCGCGACACGTCGGTAGATGCTTACCTGTGTGCGTTAAAGGGCGCACTATGTCTTAAAACACCGAATCAATATTAGGTGGACAGATGGGAAATGGAAAGTAAAGCGTGCGATGGTCGCAAGGAGTTACTGCTGGTGGTCTTGTCAATATACAAACATGTGCAGCCACACTAACCTGTCCTGACAACTGTTGATACTTTCAGTTTCGAGTTCGGTTGAAGAATGAAGAGACCAGTTCACGGCAGAGAGTCGACGAGTGATGATTGATGACAACCCAAAAGAAAACCAGCCGCTGAGTATCTCACCTAGGGGTCTGTTTTGATCGGACAATATATTATACAATGCTGAGAACTTTTACGTCAACGCTGAGCGACGTAGAATAAGGTCAATGTCTTTTATCAAGCTTTAAAAATTCACCATCTTGTCAAGATATTGCCATTACCCCTGAACTTTGATGCTAAGAAGGACACGCTCGTCACTATGGAGTTTCACACAATTTGTAGATTGGAACATTCGCCATTACATAAAATGTGATGTAATGCACCACGTCAATATCACGGTAATTATCGGCTGTTTTAATAACTGTTAATATCAAAAGCTTTGTCGATCTGTGGATGGCAGCAACGTCCTTGTCGCATCTTCTGTGACCACTCTAAATGGCTGGCTTCGTGTCGAATCGCCATCACTAGAAGATCTCCAGTGGCGTACGCAAAATCCGAAACGCTGAGCCCATTTAAGGCACCCTTGCTGAGCGCAACGCGAGCCACCACCGTGAGACCGACAGAAACCTTTCGAAATAGCGCCCTTCTTGCAGTCTTGATACTGACACCGTACCCCTCCCCCGTGCGTTTTGCAGCAACCTCGAGATTGCACAGCACGACGACATCCTTCAACACTACAGAACTTGACACCACCGTGAGCACTGCATTTGTGGCCGAATTGTGCCACACGCTCGCAGCCTATCTCTGCGCACAATCGCCTGCCCCCGTGGCCTGAACAAGCGTTGTTGAACCGTGCAAACTTTATGCAACCTTCCACCTCGCAGTGACGACGACGGTATCGCTTTGTAGTTGTAGCACTAGACGCGTTGTCAATGTCTGATATGGCAATGACATCCTTAGCATCTGAAGACTTCGGCGACTCAACCTTGTCTACCGCCTCTTTTTTTACATCTTTCGCGTTCGAATCAGCTGCAGATATCGAGATTGCAATATCCGCAGTTTTAACACCAACGGTGACGTCAACAGTATTCATGTGGGAGGTTGCACTTGTAGAGGAGACCTCGTCCTCATTTCTGGTAGGCCCGCTTTGCTTGTCTTTGGCGATTACAGCTGCATGAAGCAGCGTATCGATCCACTCTCGGACAGGGTGCTCTTGCATATTAGGCCTGTCCGGAACTCACAGAGATCAATTGAGACTATTTTTGCTAAAGAATAAAGAAGATAATTTTAGTATCTTGTGACGTCTGTAATAAAAGTAAGACGAACACTTAACAGATTGATGGGATGGAGATGAATGTGCCAAGAACACTCGCCCACAGGTTATTCGCCGCCTAAGTCTTTTTAAACCTCTACAAGCTATTTTCAGATGATCAGATGTCAATTAGATCGCCATTGAATGCTTGACTCTGCGAAGTACAAAGCACGATGCGGACGTCGAGATGGAAAACCATCGTATGCGGTTCGTGCTCAAACAGCCACGATCGTCTCCACGAAACTCTGCTAAACTTTCCGCTTCAGTGTCAAGTTAACAACAAGGTTGTCCCCATTCGCTTGTAGGAACCACGGTGCGATCAAGACGAGGTTGTACCAAAACGTAAGCGGCAACGGCACCAGTTAAATTATTACCGAAGTGAGCCTGATGCTTCTATGAGTTATTTAAATGAGTTTATACCTTCCACTTCACCAATTTCTGATCACAATTCGTTGACCCACAGAACGCTCCACGCGGAAGTGGTCACATCTTGCTCATCAAGCAGTGTCGCTGGAGAACAACACGCCCGGGCTGGCTGAAGTGTGCTTTCTTTACATTGACCCTCTTCAAGATCCTTGTTGAGCGTCGTGAGTTGAACAGATCTCAGACTCACTCTCTGAGCTTCGCCATCACACTGCGTGGGTCAAAACACCCAAGAGCTTGGAAATGCGGCGCTGCTCTAAGGTCAAGAGACGGTTAGCTACAGGAGATGATATAGACCATTCCCCGCCTACAACATAGCAGTTCGTTCCCGTCTAAATCGTAAGAGAGAAATTGGGTGTGGCTTAAGTTACCCATGTAGAAGACAGAATGTGCTCCCATTCGCTACGAAATGCCTCAAACTTTTTTTTGCTACGACCGTGAGCGGTCCGATGAAGCGTGATCGCACTTAATTTCAAAAGCCGCAGTATAGACACGCTGACTGAGTTAAGTAAAAAAATTACTTCCACGTATTCGTTTGTGTTTCGCCTACCTCTGGCATCAGCGTGCTGCTACGTCCTGATTTTCTGCTACAGCAGTCGCCTGCGCACGACGCTTCATCTCATTTTGGTGAGATTACTGATTTTGCTAGGAAGTTCAGCTGGGATAACATTCGATATGTAAATTAAATCGACATCCGCTCGCACTAAGACTCGATCTATTCAGTGGTGATGTCAGGTCACTTAGTGTTTACGTAATCACTTGTATAGGCGTGATTGCATTATTCAACGCAAGCAAAACGGGTGGTAGCATGCAACTCCCTCTGACACTGCAGCCTCCTCGTGCAAATGCGGCAAAGATATTTCCACCCCGTGATTAACGCATTCTGATCGTGAATGGTCACCAGCTAAGTGCCAGATAGAGATCCACGCTTCACAGCGAAATTCCATCTAGCATTTTTCGGGTGCTCGGCATCACCCGAAATCATGTTCGATAGAACTTAGCTATGAAGCGCGTGTCTCTATCTGGTATGATTGCTACCAGCAACCCATGTTGGCGTAACACTTTGTCCAGGAGCATCCTGGCTGTATCCTCGCTGATAAGAATATTGGTGACAAAGGAGAGATGAGTCATCATGTTCAGACGGCCCACAAAGCTCACGATGCCGGTATTATCGAGAGCCTCTTTTAGATACCGAAAAATGTTTACATGTGCAGAGATTCCGGTGCCTTATGGGTCGAATCGTTAAAAATCTTTCCCGGTGAACATAGGAAGTTGAACGCGGCTACGGTTTAAATGAAGCAACTGCGCGTTGCACTTGCAGTCTTCTTCGAGCAAGGAGGCCGCGAATAATAAAAAGCACCATGTGCAGCTCCTCGCGTATACAATTTGTGAAAATAGAAGCAACATATGATGTCACAATTATTTGCACCAGAATTTTAAAGTCTTCTCCACGAGGGATGAGGACTAGCGATCTCGTTCGGTCGTATAATGACCACCTCCGCATTCCCAGAAGCTATAAAAATAATCTTGCAATGGCATCAGGCCCTCTCCCGTCGGCGACTAGAATAAATAACTTCTCGTAGAGCGGCTCGCACTGAGACTTTTCATTTCTTTCTAGAAGTGGAGAATGTTGCATTGAATTTGAAGTGCCGAGGGGGCCGAAATCAAAAGCTGTATGAGCACGCTGGAGGCAATATACCTCAGCTATCCTGGAAGCTCTGAAGGCAATATCGGGGACATTGGATCTTTATGCGAAATTCAAATTTTTTGCAGCGTGAAATGTTATCTCGTTCTAGACCTGGTTTTGAGGTGTGACCTCATCTTGTGGCTGAAAATTGCACAGATCATAAGTTGACTTTACGTTTGGATTTGACACGCACTCCTGGCTTTGACGGGTCATTACCAAGGGCAGAGGCGCTCTTGGCGCGGGCAAGGCTGGTACAGCTTTCGGACAAGAAATGATATTATCTAGATTGATAGCGATTGAATTGCAAGGATCCTCGAGCAAAGATTGGAAGGCAGCAGCGGCAGTGAGCCGATGTCTCAGGATAAGACGGAAATGGGCGATCGCATATCGCTTTGTAAAGTGTGGATATCGGTTGACACGAGAAAGGACGGCTGTATGTCGTGGTTTCTGGAGTGTATACCTGATCGAACGGTAGAAACCGCTGTATGCTGTTGTTCTCGGTGCCAGGGTAGGTAAAAATGAGTGCGGCAGTTTTTCGTTTCAAAGCTGGTGAAATGAGAGGCGGCTGCAAATCGCGGAAAGCGAGGATCTGAAGCTAAAAAAGATGACTCATCCTTTTCACAATGTAAGAATTGTTCTGAGTCACCACTGCCGTGTGACAAGCCCATCGTGCGATCGTGCGACGCAAAAGCTCCACGAGTATTCGTGAGAAGTACTATTAACTCCAGAATTGAGAGACCGTAGACATTCTAGGTGTTGTAGGTTTTTTATTACTACCTCTTTTAAAATTCTGGTTGGGCAAGAGAAATAATGCCTAGTAGATCTGCGCAAGAGTTTGCAAGACGGTGAAATTGTCAAAATGGTAAAGTTAATACTAAATATTTGGCCGCGCCCATTGCCTTTCCGTAGGTAAGTCTTCCATTGAAGACCCACACAGGACACTGAGTACCAGAGTGGGACAGCTGTTCCCCTCACGGGTCTTACGGAGCGCTTAAAAATCTTTGTTTAAGTTGTATCATGACGCGGTGACAAGGCACTTCCCACGCTCGTTGCTCTAGATCGGCGAAGGCGTCGTACATGTGACATGGTTCACGAAAAAAAACGTTTTGTCACACGGCGAAATCTTATACCAAAAGTACGGTACGACATCATGGACGCTTTCTTTCATACGAAGCCCAAGAAGTTTAGGTAAGAGATGGGAATCTAACACTCAGCCCTAGCTTTCCGTATTAACGGCAAGTAGCAAAACGTGCACACTTATAATAAGGTAACACAGCCACGGATCCGGCCCAAACGCCAATTTTTGTAAACGATGTACTGCAGAATAGCATTTTCATTTGTACTTTGTTCAGTACACTTGTCTTGGAAGCGCTGGTTTGTCTACACGAACTGTTCGACGCACCAGCAGCGTTTAACCATCTGAGGCCATATCTTGGCTATACACAGACTTATTTCGACAATTTAATTGTCCATAGTCATGAATAGCACAGAAAGTAGGATGCGTAACGCCACATTAAACACTTACAAGTAGTGCTCGAGTTTATACTCTTAAGTAGGCTCATCCTCAATATTGATCTGTTGTTATGATGGCGCCGACGGGATGCATGCCTAAGAACAGGTCCCGCAACGATACATACATCGTTATCTGACCAGTGCAGTTGTAAAAAGGGACCTCGCCTGTCCAATTACTTGAACAAATACAGTCCAAAGAATGCTGCCATGACAGGACCCCTCGGTGTCGACTAGTATTGGGGTGCGGCAGAAGAGACGACTTTTAAGGCCAGGCAAGGAAACCTCGCACATGCTCCAATTTCGGCATACGAATCCAGGTCGGCCATTCCACACGTATGTGACGCTTTAGCCTTCTGCTCTTTTCTTCGAGCAGATACAGTGGGCATGAATACTTGGTCACGTTTAAGTCTGACTAGCTTGAAGTTGCTGAGATGGACTACCGTGCTCATAACAAAATGTCATTTGAAAAGTACTATGCCCTCGCCAAGTTTAGAATGTACATGCGTGGCTATATCTCATTCGCGCCCTATCACGATCACGCGCGTACAGCAATGTCATCTATAATTGTCTGCAGCAAATAGCAGAATGATTTTCTTCTTTGCCGAGTATATCTTTGAGGTACGTCAAGTCGCGTCGTCTTAATGTGGTGGTGAATGTGCTTATGTGTCATTTAAAATGTATTGTAGCATATCACGATAGTAAGTTCACCAATCGATGAGACGATGCGCTAAATGTACGGGTCAGGCGCAACCTGCATTGCGTCGGTGAAAGTTTTAAGCGGCGAGTCGATTTAGAGCTCAGATGACGCTTTGTAAAAGCGACTGTTTGCATGCCTGCATCGTGTTTCATTATCTTAAGGCTCGCTGTACTACAGAACCGACCCACTCGGCACTCATTGAGGTGGTGGTACCCAAGTCAGGGATCTGAGGTACAGAGGCACATGATGCCCTTTTGAGTTGTTAACTTCAAAGTGCATATCCATACTGCTCAGTGAGCGGTACATTCTGGTGGTTTAAATGTAAAGTGGATAACCACGTTCCGACGCACGTTAAAGACGTGTCAACAGATTCAATGTGCGCCCGATGCGACAGCATATTCGACTGACGTACCAATTCTGGCAGGGTTTTATCAGTTCAAGATGGACTTTACGCAAATGCCATTCTTTCATACCGACACCGAAGTATTTGCGGATTGTCTGAGCAAGATGGATCATCTTGTATATGACAATGGTAGTGTAACCAGTATGAAACCAGCGAAGCTGTTAATTCCAGCGTATTTGCGAACA